GCTTTTGAAGGGGGGGGGGGGGGGTAAATGTCAATGATATATTGCATTGATATATATTGATATATTTGCAGTGACGTTTATATTTTAATATTGGCAATACTAGACTATTTTGTTTCGATCGCGACGGGTATTTTAACGTTTTAATTTGCCCTGACACTTGCTGGTTTCCGTATTGGTAACAAAACCGCTAAATTAATAACACCTGTCTATTAACATAATTTCCGCCAAAATAATAAATCTGATTCGAAACATTCTGATTCGAAACCGTGGTGCCAGCCAAGTCGATCTCGTCGCTTCGCGACTCGGACTCTAGAGACGGACTTGATCCAAGTCTAGGTAGAGTAGTATTTGCCATGAATAAGTCGCCAGCAAACGTTTCACCATAGTCCATATAATAAATGCCATCAAAAACCGAAACCATCTCAGGTACGTCAGTCAAAAGCAAATAGCTTTTCTTAACAGAATTGCTTATAAAAGAATAGAGGTTATTTCAAGCACATAATATGTCATTTAATACAGTTGAATCCCATTCATTTGCATTTGTGATATGATTATATATTATCGCAGTCAAGGACATTGCCAAACATTGTTTACCAGCATTTTGTCAAAACTTTTTTGTATTTCCCTGGCTAAAATCAGCACATATTGTTTTAGTTGAATCAACCACATCATATATTGTGGATCCAGGATTTTCCTCTACATCATTTGCCATTCTCAACAACAGTGGAACATACACAATGTAGCCTGACATTTGAGTGAAGTTGTGTAGCAGTGGCACAATGGCTTGCTGATTTAATATTTGTGTGGCAGTGGCACAATGGCTTGCCGATTTTGTTCGTAGCAGTGGCACAATGGCTTGCTGATTTATTTGTGTGGCAGTGGCTTGCCAATTTTGTTTGTAGCAGTGGCACAATGGCTTGCTGATTTATTTGTGTGGCAGTGGCATAATGGCTTGCCAATTTTGTTTGTAGCAGTGGCACAATGCCGGGCTTGCGGATTTATTTGTGTGGCAGTGGAACAATGGCTTGCCAATTTTGTTTGTAGCAGTGGCACAATGGCTTGCTGATTTAATTGTGTGGCAGTGGCACAATGGCTTGCCGATTTTGTTTGTAGCAGTGGCACAATGGCTTGCTAATTAATTTTGGATGTAGTGGTGACACACATGATATGCTCAAGTAACATATACAAACAAATATTATTAACATAATGACCACTATAATCAACCAAAATAACATAAAAAATATAGGATAAAAGCTATCTTGCAAATAAGTCAGATAATTTCTCATTCGCATACAATTGTGTGTTCCAATGTGGGCACGATACTGCTCGATTGATATTCCCATTATATTAATGATAAACTATGTTCCTGTCAAGCTCAATCAGATTTTTTAGACCCAGTCAAACCTCACAATCGACGACCTATGAAGATTTGTATATGCACCTAAAAATTTAATGATTTATATAAACACAGTGAATAATTCATTTGTTTCAACGAGTAAGGCGTAAACAAATACCTGTGGTTCCGGTTCCCGACCGACCCTATTTTTTTCTGCCGACCCTATTATTTTTTCAACGCGATTGACCGTCCGACCCTATTTTCTCCAGGTGGTTGGCACTGGTTGCGGGCTGCTCATACAGCGTGCCAAAATGACGTCTGTTGTCACATTAATTATTGAACCAAATTGCCTAAATTCGTCCATAGGAAATACGCATCTCTAGTTAAATATTGATGTCGGGACTCTACTGCAAATTGCCCAGCAAAAAACCGCCAAAACCATGAAAAAAATATTTAAAAAAAAATGTATTTCCGACCTACCGACCCTAATTTTTTCACGATATGAAACCGGAACCATGTACAGGTATAACAGCCAAACATAAAATTTGCTGTAAGCGAGATACAAAATCAGTAATACAGCAAGCACGACTGCACGAGGCAACGTGGTTACACATTGTCATGGTTCATGGTGGTGTTCGCGAGTTTCAACCAGGGTATTCGGAAAATCAAATCACGATCTGGAGTATGTTATTTTTTTTTGAAATTTCTGTGACGTCAAAATACGTCATAAATCTAATCGTGCTGAGTGGTTATATTACTACCTTCAAAAATAAGCAGAAACTCGACGTTTCAAGCGAAGGCCCTTCGTCAAGAGTTAGTAGTTAATAGTAGTTAATAGTAGTTAGTAGTAGTCTTGACGAAGGGCCTTCGCTCGAAACGTCGAGTTTCTGCTTATTTTTTAAGGTTGTAATATAACCACTCAGCACAGCATTTCTACATTGGTACTACCTACACTGGTACAGACAGTTTAATTACATAAATCTAATCATCCGTACCAGATTCCTAAAAATGACTTGTCGGACCACATAACTCGCGAACCGGAAACGGACTGGTGCGAGAAAAACACATTATCGTCAAGAATAGTGTGCTGCCTTCGGCAGCAACAAACTATAAGAGCTTTTAAAATACAATATTTACCAGAAAGCAAGGAATAGACCAAAGGAACAAAGCAATTTTCTATAGTTCTACGTGTAAAATTAACCGGCTTGGCATTCGTCGTATTTGTTGTTGTCTCGACAAGTTTTGGGTAAAAGCGTGCAAAATAGCCGAGAAAAAAACAACTTGAAAAAGATACAGGAATACCAAATACATAGAAAAAGGCAACAAAAACTGAATACGCCTCGTGTTTTACACGCTTCTATCGTATTCTCCCAACATTCCCCGCGTGCATTATCACACCATAAACGCACGCGACTCGTTTTCTATTTCATAAACAGTATAAAGACAATTAAATTGCAACAAGACGCCTGATCAGGCATTCACACTGGCCGTATATAATGCGTGCTGGTGTGTAGCATCAGGTACAAAGGTTAGGACGCGGTTCACTTTGAAAACTATACGACCTATGATAAGCGTTGCGAAATTTCTATGTCTGCAAGTCACAAACTTTCAAGGATTTTAAAACGTGTGTGCACAGACTATAGGGTTCAACTAATACACAGGTAATATACTACAAACAATCGAGTAGGTTTAAAAATTCAAAGAAAACTACGTACATCAATATATAGTAAACAAACCGAAAGCCTCCAAGACCAAGTCACTGACGTTTAAGGATTTTAAAAGTCCTTTGACCGGCTATATATGGTGAATTAATAAGCAGGTAATATACCAAAAATATATGAGTATGCTGATTTTCAAAATTTAAATAGCACTATATCAATAGTAAGAAACAAACAAGACAAAAAATCCTATTGTACAATTTCCGCTCCTTACCTGGTGACCATTTTGACTTGAGCACGTGATCCATTGCAGGTCAGCGGTTCACTTCACATAATATTAGGGAACTCAACACTGGGCCTGACCAGTGATGGGCCTTACGGCCATGCAGAGTAATAAGAGGCCAACTATAGCGAATCATTTTCACGTGCAGTAACGCTGTGCAGTTTCTTTACAATAGATATTATTCGTTGAAGGCCTTATTCAACGAGTTGAATGCTCATCGAGTCCAAGATGGCGGCCGGACGCCTCTTCCCATCACTCTCTGAAGGGCTTTTTCAACGAGTCCAAGATCGAATTGGGGTACGAGATTAGGGATAAAATTGATAAGAACGTGATAAGAACATGTAGAGCACACGTGTACATGCAGACTAAGAGAGCACTACGTCTATATTAAGTGTAATATTGTATGTAATATTTCATTGAAGATTGGATTAATTTGACTTTTAATGCATATTTTAGAACAATTGAAAATATTTTCTGGACACCGAAATTTCCATAGAATTTCCATCATATTTCCATGTTTAAGAAAGTTCCATTTCTCTTCAAAAACTCCATCAAATTTGGAAATTTCTATGGAAGTGAAGCACCGATGCAGAGTCAGGCGCGATGGGTGGTACAGTGCACGGAAAATGGCGGAATTAGCAGTTGTTAGAACATGTTTTTTTGAAAATAAAATATTCGAACGCAAATGTATATACATGATAAACCAGGAGCAACTATAGGCCCGATTCCTCAGATACAGTTGCCCAGGTTAGGTACAAAAAACCCAACATACAGCCATGTTCTATTACTGTAAAAATTCAACAAGATTATAATGTACGAAACATAAAAGAATACACCCTTCCGGAAAGTATGTCACTTTGGCTATAGAGCCTCGTTTTCGTATCTGACATCATCAGTTAAAATCCACGTCTCAATCACGAAAACGAGACTCTATAGTCAAAGTGACGTACTTTCCGGAAGGGTGTATTGAAGACGTGTTTCCGTATGGTGGACGTATGATCTGATGGGTCTATACCACACTATACACTCTTTTGAAGCATAAATATATTTTGTGTGTGCATGGACATAACATGGAACTACAGTACTGTTATGCAAGCTACATGTACATTATATTTAAATATTCTGTTCATATTTTGCTCACAAAACGTTGTGTGCAATAGTATTCTTTAATAACTAAAATATATATGGCTGAGAGTAAGCGAGTAATATATACGAGCGAAACATAAGCATTACCAGAAATATGGGACAAGATGGCGACGGACATGCGCACTTTGACCAAATATGGCGACCAAATATTACTATAAACTATATGGGAGTTGATCAAAATATCAAATTTTAATATACTTTGTTTAAATATTTCATGGTTGCGGAGCTCGATTATAGTAGCGACACCAACAAGCAATATTTCTAAACAAAAATCGCTAGTATTGCACCGCGTCTAGCAGGTTCCTGAGAATGTTGTATTTTTACACGCAATTTGATGAATTTCATAGTGTAATTTATAGTAAACTTCTGACACAAGAGGTAAATATCCGACGAATAGACCAACATCCATTCGGGCGATGAAAAGTGCGGAGCTCGCAACATATTTAATGATGTCCAAACTGTTAATTTAGCTAAATAAATCCGCTGTAATTCCCAGGGAAACTGGTTCCCGAAACGTTTAAATGTTCGCCTTTTTACGGTTCTTGTATGTCGCCATTAGGCCACCTTAATATCCGAAAACGACAAGTTTTAATACAAATTTGAGCTGTTTCGAGCAGCCATGTTTGTTGTTTATTTTAAAAGACTAGATCCCAGGCTCTCACGTAAAACACAGGGATATTTTAGGATTTTTTAGGATATTTGCAATATTTTTAGTCTTCATAAAAAATTGCGGGGTTAAAGGTCAAAATACCGGAAGTGATCAGCATAAACTGCAAAATATAGTTTAAAATCACAGTTTTTGGTTGAATAATACTTGAACTGGAGATTCAAAGTAAAATGCGAAGTCGTTTTACTTATATTAGGGAATGTTGGGCATATAAAACGGACTTAGCCGCTGACTACAAAAGCGGGAGCAAAATGTCCCATATTTCTGGTAATGATGAGATTTCCAACTAGTAACAAATATCATCAAACAATTTAACATTGCGGGAAGATGTAACCATAGATATCTTATATACACTAGATAGTGCATCTAATTATTCTGTAATTCAAAAATTGAAGTCGTGATTGCAGACTCAGAATATTTCCATGAAATGAGAAGATTCGTTTGTTTTCTATTTCTTAAACAGGGAACTTAAACATTAAGTTAAACCTATTCCAAATACATTTTCAAACTATTCAAATGATGAAAGTTATTGTTGTTTGTTAAGCGTTTATTAGCGAGTGGGAAACTCCAACATGGCCGCCATCTATTCAAATGGGGGTAACCGCTGGAATATTCTTGGCTTCAATTTTACTTAAAGAGATGCGCTATCTAGTGTATATAAGATATCTATGGATGTAACTCGAGACTAGATCCAAACTTGACTAGCAGACAATTTGATGGAGACAGTAGAATCCTGAAAGAAGCTCCCCCTCTTTCCTGCTCCCCCTCTTTCCCGCTCCGAAAGTATGGAGAAATTTGCGGCGTTTGCAAAAATCGTAAAGCAATACGTAGCGTCGATGAAACTGAAAGTATGGGCGGGGAGGCTACTTTCGGGATTCTACGGTAGCAGTCCCCGATAATGTGCAAAATAGCAAAGTTGCAAAAAAGTTGAATTGGTAATGCTACTTTAATAAATGCTAATTTGGGTCAGTGCAAAATGTTAACTCTGTCAAAAAAATGTTATCAAATTAAAACCTCCAAGTCACCTTTGATTTTCCATTGGGGCTCACCAATATATATTATCAGAGGTATAACTTTATTAACGATCACGTGCCATTAAGACAAGTTATACAGGGAAGGAAAATTGCTATCCCCCCCCCCCAACGAATAAAATTGACTTGCCAGTAGATGTTATTGCCCACTTACCCAAGCAAGTGACGGTAACACATGGGTAGCCAAAATATTGTTTTGCGATGGAGGTTCTAACTTGACGTTTTGTTTTAAATTCCGCAAACTGATTACCAATACTCTCTGTCCTATTCAATGCTGCAATCGACATTTGTTAAATTTTTTCTCGCAAATCCGCCTGTTGTCCGAATGGACAATCAATACGAATCATAACTTCACTTGTCCTCTCTGGGTTAAATTACACCTGTGATTAGGACGTACGAACACATTTCGTGATTGGTAGTTGTGACAATAAAATATAATAATGTGTATATATATATAAAATGTTTTCTAAAAACCTTATTACTAGAAAAACTAGTTACTCGTGTTTTACGCAGCCAATCAGAAAAATATCACTTTCGATCACTCCAGTGTTGAGCTCATTTTCAGAAAGCCATTTAGTTAGCGAGAAACGAGACGAAAAAATCGCAACGAAAAATAATCTCGCTAGGAAATCACATTGTCCGAATTTGTTTTTGGCCTTTTTTGTACGAACAAATGCGCTTAATGAAGAAGGGGCTTTAATAGACAATTCCCATCATAGATTAATTTTACAAATAAGCAAGGAGATGCAAATAAATCACCACAGGCAGAACGAGCATACTAAAATTAGTAAAATTACAAAGTTTGGTTGCAAAATGTTGTAAAATGCGGAAAATATAGCCTTGCAAAGTTTGCCAATTTTGTATACTTTTGTATTGCGTGCGGAATTCCTACCACAATCCTACCACATTTGGGCCCAAATGTGGTAGAATTATTTACATCTTGAGTGGCAATTTATTTACATCTCCAGACTTGCCTAGTTTTAAAATTATAGTCTATAATGGGAATTGTCTATTCGGTCAGACCCATAAATATCTCATATGCACTAGATAGCGCATCTCGGAATACAAAACTGAAGCCAAAAATCTCAGCGGTTTCCCCCATGAAAATAGGCGGCGGCCATATTGGTCGTTCCCACTCATCAATGAAATACTATAGAAAATACTATACTTTTCGAGGCTTTTTTGCATTTCTGGATTAAACATACCTTTTTGAGGTACGTTCGCCTTGAAATCGCAGCTTTTTTGGAAAAGGGTACAAGAAAAAACATTAATTGGCGATGTTGTTGTCTTTGAATCGCATTTTAAAGCTAAAAATTTCGAATTACGACATTGGCTTTATACACTTGTTTTGAATCTGAGTGATTCTCTGGTGAAGTATCGTCTAATCAATACATGTACTTACGGTTTCTGGCACCACTTTATGGAAATGGAAGTTGGTAAGTAACGTTTCGACTATCGGCGTAGGCAGTTTATACTGTAAAAACAGAGTCTGCACTTTCAGTTTGGGCAGTTTTCACTGTAAATCTTTAGTGAAATGTTTGAGACAGTCTGAGTCTGCACTTTCAGCTTGGGTAGTTTTCACTCTAAATCTTTAGTGAAACGTTTGAGACAGAGTTTGCACTTTCAGCTTGGGCAGTTATCACTATAAGTCTTTAGTAAAATTATGTTTGAGGCAGAGTCTGCACTTTCAGCTTGGGCAGTTTCATAGTAAATTTTAGTAATATTTAGCTTTCTCTGATACCTTCTGTGTAATCACTCACACTGGTGCTTACAGTAAAAGGTACAAGTTTATTTAATTTCTTTCTAATTTTTTGTCCAGATGAATTCTCAGTGGTCTTTTTTCCAAGATGGTAAAATTTAACCTCACAGTATAAACTCTTGATGATGCTCTTGGTCAACTGAAATATATAACATGATTTTCACCAACTGGTGAGTGAAAAATATGGTGATCTAGCTCAGTAAAAAGATTGTGTATGGACAATGAAGCCAGAACATATGGACAATGAACAATGAAGCCAGAACAGAAGTGGTCAGAGCATATAAGTGTCTGCTTTCTGAGAACAGAACAGTATGGACAATGCAACCAGAACAAAAGTGGTCAGAACATATAAACATCTGCTTTTTGGGTGACCACTTTTCTTGATGAACATTTTGTATCAACTGTTTTCATAGTACTTCATCCTTAGGGATGTTTATCATGTTAATGCAGGTCTAATTTCAATCAATATAATAGTATACTGTAAAAAACTAAAAATAAATTGCTTACTGATGAAATGTCCTGGGAAGTTTTCTTTTGATTTTTGATTCTGTCACTTGACCCTTCACTATTACTTCTTATACTTTTTGCATCAGGAATGACTTTACCCATTGCTATGAAATTTTCTGAGTTTAATTCAAATTTTTAATTTCAATTTCCACCAAAACTTCTTCAGGTCTCCAAATTTTTTTTAAAATTGGACATTTTTTAATGATATTTACAGTAACCACTAAACTCAAAAGGCAAAAATTGAGAGTTTATCATGTTTTCAATTCCTGAGAGTACTGGCAAATTTATTTTAGTTTTTTAGAAAAGTTTAATTATTGTGCATCTGATGAGTCAAAGAATTAGAAAACACTATTACACAAAGTCAAAAGTAATACTTTATTATAACAATAGAATTATTTATACAATAGTGAGTGCAACTATATTTAAGATTATAAAATCTACTGTGCATCAAGCAGTTTATCCCATTGACCTTACAATATACAATAATGCAAGAAGCAATGTGTCTCATTACAAAATAGGGTTTCCCAAAGCAGTTCTAAAATTCAGCTGATTATCAATGACCTATGCTGTTAATAATTACAGTAATTTGGCAGTTTGATTGCTTGAATTAAAAACAAAAGGTCTAGGACTCAACAGAAAGAAATATTTCTTAACATCAAATATTAAAGATAGTTTGAAGCATTCATACAATTGAAGGTTTTAGAAAGTTTGATTATCAACTACATTTACATAAAGCAATATCAATTATGTTATTATTGCCTGCGAATATACTAAGTTGCAATTATTCTTCTCTAGCTTCTAACACATTTTAATCTTGATGTGATTCCATGGAACTATAAAATAATATATGATATGTTGTATGTATGTAATAAATATACAAATAGTAAGGAGTAAGAACCATTTTTGGTGTCAATGATTTATATATTGACTATTTAAGATTTTAAGTCTATTTTTGCCATTGATAAACTGTGACTAAAATATGTTTTTCAGTGTCGCTGTCTTTCACAAAAGAATATGCAAATACATTCACAATTTTGCCATGAAGCAATGGCGATTGCTCAAAATGTTTTATTTGGAATTGGTGAAACTATATTTATATACACATCAACAATGATGGTTTGTCCATAAAGTTTGTCCTATGGGCGCCCTTCATACGGGTCGACAAATATTGATATTTTCGAAAAAAAAAATTAAATTCTGCCTACCCGTTATTCACAATATGAAGCTCCAACGATCTGGCATCATTTACAACAAGTTGCACACTTGAAAAACCAAAATTGACTGCATAAAAGAGGATTTATTGTCAACTTTGTCCATTTCCGCAATACAAAATATACAAATTATCACGCTCCGTGGGAACGACCAATATGGCCGCCGCACGTAAACTGCGACTGCGATCAGGCTTCAATTTTCGCCTGCCTACAGGGTGGGATGCGCTATCTAGTGTATATGAGATATCTATGGTCAGACCATTTGTAATCAAACATATAATTTGGTATGTTATACAATACTGTACATGGTTAAAATGCATGTTTTATATTAAAAATACTAAATTATACGTCTGTCTATCGACATCACACACTGGATATACGTTTAGTGTTATTTTTATGCAAGCTAGCGAGTATATACAAATTTATGTTCAAATATCCAGCTTCCAATTTAAAACTAGGATAAGTAAACACATTATATTACACAAGAAAGGTTCAACTCATATAACACTAGAAATATGATATCGGCAATAGAGACTCTCGGCAGATAATACTATATGTATTTAAATTATATTTCAATACATCAGTAGCGGACACTGGGGGGGATGGCGGAAAAGGGGTATGCATCCCCATTAAATTCTAAAATTCTTGAATGTTCACAATTATAACTGCCAATAAACTTTGCAAATGAAGCTACGCGCCGTATCCCAAAGTGTCCGCGAATGAAATACATTTCATTGTTTTAGACAGCTTCGACCCACTTAGCTGGGAATAGTCCTTCAGCATCATTGAGCCGTCCCTTGCACCATCCTTGACCATCTTCACCAGATAATTGTGTGATAATATCACCAACATGAAATGACAGTTCATCGTCCTCACTAGCTTCGTAATCATATTTAGCACGGACAGGGACACCAGGAATATCTGCCGTGTTTTCGGGTATATCGTTTTCTATAATATCGCCGTTTATCAAGGGTGTTCCAGTGTCAACACTAAAAAGAATAGACAAGTTAATATATTTAAAATAATTTCTGATTGATTAACAGCCAACTAGGAAATCGTCATAACAACTCAACAGCTGACCAAATATGAGTTTTAACATAATATTAGACGGAGTGACGTCATTCTGTGAAATAGAGGAGGTAAAACTGTATTTAAATGTGAATACGACATGTGGAAACACGACCAAAACAATATGGCGCCGCCTTCAGCCGTGGAAAGCGAATTTTTAAATATCAACGAAAACAGCCACGAAAGTTTTTTTGAAGCATCTAAAAGTACTTATGATAAAAAAAGGGAAGATTTTCTGCAATGGGAAACTGGTCGTTATTTCAACGAATTGAACCCACATATACGGTATCAAGGCCTCAGTTTGGGTTACCAACCTCAGCCTTCGGCTTCGGTTGATAACACAAACTACTGCCTTTATAATTCTTCATATCACGCGAAAACTGAATTCAACAGTTGTCAACGATTGCCGATACCGATTGTTAAGAGCCGATATTTACTGACCATCGGCCGATTAATCGGCAACACCGATGGTTGCTTATTATTACTAAAACTGCTGATGCAGGTGACTTAAAGGAACGCGACGACAAAGGTATTCTCCAGGCGTAAGAAAATCCAGGAACACGGCGACATTTCGGCTCAGCATCGTGAAATCAACATCGTGTTACTGGTGAGATCTGATTGGTCCACGGAGTCACGGACCACGATAAAAATTGCAAACTTACGAATTGCGAAAAGCCGAAAACACGGTCAAAAACGCGGGAAATAAAAAAACATAGTGTTTCCACTTTCGATCAGTGTTTCCACACCAAAGATTTGAAATTTCAATATTTTTTACTAACACCGCTGACCATTCCGATGGTGAAAAAAACAAGCCGATTAATCGGGTTTGTCGATGTTTTGCCGATGATCGGCTCACCTCTAGTAGAAAACATCATGTTTCTTTATTAGTCTTTCGACCGGCAAGCTCAAATTTTCACCGAAACAAACGTTTCATTTTCATTCATAGGCAGTTTTCATTGAAATTAAACGTATATTATTTGATTAGCACTGTTCATAAGTATAAAAGCGAGAGAAGGAACACAAAACATTTTCTTGACAAGCAAGTGAAGCAACAAAATCGTATCACAAGTTTATATGGTACCAGGCATGTAAAAATTCCAAAACAATATCCTTGGAACCAAGTACTTTCCAGTTGCATGGACCTTTGGAACTACGTAGCAAAAATTAAGTAACGTCATTGAACAAACGCACAGTTGATAGGACATTTGTAAGACCCAAGCGAAATTGTTATAATCAATGCTTTAGTTTTTTTGTAAAAAATTATCAAATTTCTACAACATGAATATCATGCCTTACTTGTCGTCTTCAACAACATAATCATCATCATCATTATCAAATGGATTTAAACTGGGTCCTGTAGGTTCTCCTTGAGAAATACCATCCACACTTTCATTGTCTTGATCCACCATACCTTCAGTGGCTGACAGAGGTTTCGTATTTGATGTGCCATTCGGATCATAGTCCTAAACAAATAACGTAAAGTATTAGGCATGAGAAGAAAATGTATGGTGGTTTTGAACTACACTACGAGAACATCCACAATAAATTTTACACCATGGTTTTCACAACTGTTTATGATAGAATTGAGGACTAGGATTTCCACTTGTATATAAAGTATGATGCCAGCAAGACGGACATTCCTCTAACATATATACAGGGTAATACGACTATTATATCAGCGGCAAAGATGACGTTTCATTTTGTCTTGCATAAATTAACGTACATGCCTGGTTGTATATTAATAAAATGCCCAGGAAATTTAACCATGAAAATTAACCTAAATCCAGCCAGAAATGTAAAAAGTGGCATTCTTTGTGTGCGGAACAAGGTTTCGTCTCTAGCTGCGCAACAATACTCACCCCGCTAGTACCAGGATTACTATAATAATTTATACCGCTAGGTTGATCGTAAGTGGAATAACCATTTTGATATTCGTTTGTCGGGGAGAATGTTGTACTCCGATTCCACGCATCTGTATATTGATCTACTATGCTTGGTGATCTATAACGTTCATCATGAGATGAGCTTTCACGTAGAGCGCTTGCAGGCTTCTGATAATATGATGACCTAGGATTATCATAGTCAAGATTATTATTGGGAGAAACATCTTCATTACTCCATTCTGTAGAGCCACTGAACGAATCATACGAGATTGATTCTGACAACCTTGTATTATCATGTTGTACAGGTGACGTCATCGTAATCTGTGGTCTTTGTTGTCGTTTGTTGTTCCGCTTTCGCAGGCTAAGACGTCTTACGAAGCTTTGTTTGGTTGGCTGGCGGTTCGAGGGAAGATTCCATACATCAGGTTCCTGTAGAGGAGCAGGAGACCACGTTTACACGAGAGAAAAGGCATTCGGATTCGCAGTGAATTTACCAGCAGCAACAGATTCAAATGAGCGAACTACAGTACAGTTAACGTCGAGATAACCAAGCTTCCTTTCATTGAACGGCCCAAAACTACATACTGTGTACACGTTCTAAACATGGCTAGCATACATTCGTCTTACAAATCTCAAGGGATTGATTGCAAACCACCAAAAACTATAGTTATCATCCAGCTAATCAAGCCTTCTTTTCTGGAACAGTCAAAATTTCCATGTACCTACTGTGTACACGCTCTTACGTATACATATAAGCACAATATTTATGTGCTGAACAAAAGCGAGACACTGACTATTCAGTGCACTTGTGGGTTTCATACTACAGAGGCGTGAGACTGGGCCATTGCTTAAACATTTTTTATGTCTTAATTGATGGATGATCATATTGTAAAGCACAATACCGATCATGGTTAGTGCAATATAGCATATCTTTTCGCGCTGCAATGATAGGTCGGTTTGAATGAAGCATTTGACCTGTTTTTCTGGTGATCAATTTAGAAATTTTCTTACTGGATAGATATGGGGTTGCAATGCAATGATATAATCCCCAAGGGTCTGTGGTAGTGTAGGTACAGCGCCAATAATAAGAAAGCAGCGGATTGATATGATACAACTACCTGAAAAATACGAGATACGCATCCATAGGAAATACGCATCTCTAGTTAATATTGATGTCGGGACTCTACTGTTAATTGCCCAGCAAAAAACCGCCAAAACCATGAAAAATATATTTAAAAAAAAATGTATTTCCGACCTACCGACCCTAATTTTTTCACGATATGAAACCGGAACCATGTACAGGTATTTTTTTTACGCCTAAAATACTTCAACCAAAACACATTGTTATTTGTTATCAAACTTTCATCTTACCTTGAAAAGTATTGCGAATATATAACAGCCAGACATAAAATTTGCTGTAAGCGAGATACAAAATTTAATACAGCAAGCACGACTGCACGAGGCAACGTGGTTACAAATTGTCATGGTTCATGGTGGTGTTTGCGAGTTTCAACCAGGGTATTCGGAAAATCAAATCACGATCTGGAGTATGTTATTTTTTTTAAATTTTCTGTGACGTCAAAATACGTCATAAATCTAATCGTGCTGAGTGGTTATATTACTACCTTCAAAAATAAGCAGAAACTCGACGTTTCAAGCGAAGGCCCTTCGTCAAGAGTTAGTAGTAGTTAATAGTAGTTCGTAGTAGTCTTGACGAAGGGCCTTCGCTTGAAACGTCGAGTTTCTGCTTATTTTTTAAGGTTGTAATATAACCACTCAGCACAGCATTTCTACATTGGTACTACCTACACTGGTACAGACAGTTTTAGTACATAAATCTAATCATCCGTACAAGATTCCTAAAAATGACTTGTCGGACCACATAACTCGCGAACCGGAAACGGACTGGTGCGAGAAAAACACATTATCGTCAAGAATAGTGTGCTGCCTTCGGCAGCAACAAATTTACCACTTTTAAAATACAATATTTACCAGAAAGCAAGGAATAGACCAAAGGAACAAAGCAATTTTCTATAGTTCTACGTGTAAAATTAACCGCCTTGGCATTCGTCGTATTTGTTGTTGTCTCGACAAGTTTTGGGTAAAAGCGTGCAAAATAGCCGAGAAAAAAACAACTTGAAAAAGATACAGGAATACCAAATACATAGAAAAAGGCAACAAAAACTGAATACGCCTCGTATTTTACACGCTTCTATCGTATTCTCCCAACATTCCCCGCGTGCATTATCACACCATAAACGCACGCGACTCGTTTTCTATTTCATAAACAGTATAAAGACAATTAAATTGCAACAAGACGCCTGATCAGGCATTCACACTGGCCGTATATAATGCGTGCTGGTGTGTAGCATCAGGTACAAAGGTTAGGACGCGGTTCACTTTGAAAACTATACGACCTATGATAAGCGTTGCGAAATTTCTATGTCTGCAAGTCACAAACTTTCAAGGATTTTAAAACGTGTGTGCACAGACTATAGGGTTCAACTAATACACAGGTAATATAATACAAACAATCGAGTAGGTTTAAAAATTCAAAGAAAACTACGTACATCAATATATAGTAAACAAACCGAAAGTCTCCAAGACCAAGTCACTGACGTTTAAGGATTTTAAAAGTCCTTAGACCGGCTATACAGGGTGTCTCAAAAAAACCAAAATCATTGAAATTGACGTATTGTTCGATATTCAATGCCCTAGCACTAAGTTAATCCCACGAGTGCATAAAAGATTGACATAACTGCTATAATGAATGGTAATACTCAGCGTAAACTTGTTATGTCAGGCATAAAGTACTAAACCCACGAATGCATATTACGCATATTACAATTTACGAAGCATTTTTAAATTCCCATGAGGAAACAAACGTTCACTTTACAAAGATATTTTAATTTTTTAAAACAAATTAATCACCCTGTCAAAATCCTTTGTGTTACGGCATTGAAATTCGAACAATACGTTATTTCAATGATTTTGGTTTTTTTTGAGACACCCTGTATATGGTGAATTAATAAGCAGGTAATATACCAAAAATAAATGAGTATGCTGATTTTCAAAATTCAAATAACACTATATAGTAAGAAACAAACAAGACAAAAAATCCTATTGTACAGTTTCCGCTCCTTACCTGGCGACCATTTTGACTTGAGCACGTGATCCATTGCAGGTCAGCGGTTCACTTCACATAATATTAGGGAACTCAACACTGGGCCTGACCACTGAGCTATACTATATTACTGGAGGACCTGCTCGGCATCATCAAGTGAAGCCGAAAACATGGCGGCTATTACGCCATTTCCATGACAACACTTACTTTATTTTGGTAACGGGTCCATGTCTCGCTGAAACCCACTATATCCTTTACTATCCTTAGCCTTGTAATCTTGTAATCCTTGTAATCTTGTCATTCTTCTAATACTTCTAATCTTCTAATCCTTGTAATCTTGTAATTGCTGTAATCTTGTAATTGCTGTAATCTTGTAATCCATGTAATCTTGTAATTGCTGTAATCTTGTAATCGTTGTAATCTTGTAATTGTTGTAATCTTGTAATTGTTGTAATCTTGTAATCTTGTAATTGCTGTAATCATGTAATTGTTGTAATCTTGTAATTGTTGTAATCTTGTAATTGTTGTAATCTTGTAATTGTTATAATCTTGTAATCCATGTAATCTTGTAATCCATGTAATCTTGTAATTGCTGTAATCTTGTAATCTTTGTAATCTTGTAATTGCTGTAATCTTGTAATTGTTGTAATCTTGTGATTGCTGTAATTTTGTAATGCTGTAATCTTGTAATCCTTGTAATCTTGTAATGCTGTAATCTTGTAATGCTGTAATCTTGTAATTGTTGTAATCTTGTAATTGTTGTAATCTTGTAATTGCTGTAATCTTGTAATTGCTGTAATCTTGTAATTGCTGTAATCTTGTAATTGTTGTAATCTTGTAATTGCTGTAATCTTGTAATGCTGTAATCTTGTAATTGTTGTAATCTTGTAATCCTTGTAATCTTGTAATTGCTGTAATCTTGTAATCCTTGTAATCTTGTAATTGCTGTAATCTTGTAATCCTTGTAATCTTGTAATTGCTGTAATCTTGTAATCCTTGTAATCTTGTAATTGCTGTAATCTTGTAATCCTTGTAATCTTGTAATTGCTGTAACCTTGTAATTGCTATAATCTTGTAATTGCTGTAATCTTGTAATCCATGTAATCTTGTAATTGCTGTAATCTTGTAATCCATGTAATCTTGTAATCCTTGTAATCTTGTAATTGCTGTAATCTTGTAATTGCTGTAATCTTGTAATTGCTGTAATCTTGTAATTGCTGTAATCTTGTAATTGCTGTAATCTTGTAATTGCTGTAATCTTGTAATTGCTGTAATCTTGTAATTGCTGTAATTTTGTAATTGCTGTAATCTTGTAATTGCTGTAATTTTGTAATTGCTGTAATCTTGTAATTGCTGTAATCTTGTAATTGCTGTAATCTTGTAATTGATGTAATCTTGTAATTGCTGTAATATTGTAATTGCTGTAATCTTGTAATTGCTGTAATCTTGTAATTGCTGTAATCATGTAATTGCTGTAATCTTGTAATTGCTGTAATCATGTAATTGCTGTAATCTTGTAATTGCTGTAATCATGTAATTGCTGTAATCTTGTAATTGCTGTAATCATGTAATTGCTGTAATCTTGTAATTGCTGTAATCATGTAATTGCTGTAATCTTGTAATTGCTGTAATCTTGTAATTGCTGTAATCTTGTAATTGCTGTAATCTTGTAATTGCTGTAATCTTGTAATTGCTGTAATCATGTAATTGCTGTAATCTTGTAATTGCTGTAATCATGTAATTGCTGTAATCTTGTAATTGCTGTAATCTTGTTATTGCTGTAATCTTGTAATCCATGTAATCTTGTAATTGCTGTAATTGCTGTAATCTTGTAATTGCTGTAATCTTGTAATTGTTGTAATCTTGTAATTGCTGTAACCTTGTAATTGCTGTAATCTTGTAATTGCTGTAATCTTGTAATCCATGTAATCTTGTAATTCTTGTTATCTTATAATTCTTGTAATCTTGTGATTTTTGTAATCTTGTAATTCCTGTAATCTTGTAATTCTTGTAATATTGTAATCATTGTAATCTTGTAATTGTTGTAATCTTGTAATTGCTGTAATATTGTAATTGTTGTAATCTTGTAATTCTTGTAATCTTGTAATCTTGTAATTGTTGTAATCTTG